CTTAGCAAACAAACTTCTTTAATGAGACTAAAAATAATTAAAACGTATTATCTGCATTGAAATATCTTGTTCTTAGAATTATGATGATGACGAAGAAAAAATAACGAGTATTTTTTTTAGCAACATGCCTTCGTACAAGCTGACTTACTTCCCCATCACGGCATTGGCTGAGCCAATTCGCTTCCTGTTCAGCTATGCTGGCATCGAATTTGAGGATGAACGTTTTGATAGGAATGATTGGCCAAAACTTAAGCCGAGTATGTACATCTGATTAATCCTAATAATATATGCTGCTATTCACCTGTTGAGAATTTAATCCTAAAAGTCCAGTTTAATCCTTGAAATCCGATTTATGAACAGATAACAGATCTGCAATAAAAATATGTTACATTATCTTCTGGAGCGCCGACTAATCTTGTAACATATCTCTTCATTTTTAAATATAAAATATTTTGATGCCGGGATTATGGCGATTTGATTCTCTTAACGGAACATTTACTTTTAGTTTTTTTTTTATATAACAACCGGAAATTATTTTTTTTTACAATAGAGCCTTTTATTTCTTATTGCGTACTGCAATGTTCTGTACAGGGAAACTGATATTGTTATGTAAATGCAGTGTCTTTGTATTTTCAGTTAATGAAAAACATTGTGGCTTTTTTTCATTGTACGGTTTCAACATAAATAGTGTGTAAGGAAATCGTTTCTCTGTGTCGTTTAAATTAGCTAATCAATCGATACATGCTATAGGATTTGAAACACAAATCTTTCAGCATCATAGAGCCATAAAAAGTAGCAAAGCGGTATGTAAATTGTAACAAGAGAAAAAGAAATTATCATGAGAATAAAAATTAGAATTTGTATTGTCAAATTTGGATTTAAAAATGTAATTGTGTGTATTTAATTTTTTAATTGTGCACAATTATTAACCATCACAGCTCTTAATATGTGTTCTTAAAAGACATTTATTGTAGATATAAATGTGTCACAATAATCTAGACGGCTAGAAGTTTATAATCTCTATTATAAACTTTATTTAATTTTAACAGCATGTTGCATTCATATCATCTTTCAGCTATGCCATTCGGCAAAGTACCTGTACTCGAGGTAGATGGAAAGAAAGTCGATCAGTCTACAGCTATTTGCCGTTATTTGGCAAAGCAATGTGATCTTGCTGGCAAGAATGATTGGGAGTCTTTGGAAATAGACTCGACCGTCGACACCATCCATGATGTACGCGCCAGTGAGTATAATATTCTGTTTACACAATACTTACCTGACTCTTGTTTATCAGAAGGGGAAATTTAATTTTAAAATAGATTTGAATCACGCGATATATTGATGAGTTTATATCTCAATAATACATACAGATTTATTCACAGAAGATGGTAATATAAGAAAGAAGTTTTTTTTTACATTTGTGTTAAATTCGATTTACTTAAATATTTGATTCGATTTGTTTGTCATTTTATCTTATTTGTTTTTTTTTCTTGCTTGTATTAGATATCGCTGGTTTCCACTACGAGAGCAATGAAGCAGCTAAAAATGAGAAACTTAAAGCTTCCAAGGAGACAGTGCCATATTATTTGGAGCGTTTAGACGCACAGGTGAAGAAGAATGGCGGTTACTTTGTCGGTGGTTCTTTGACGTGGGCCGATTTAGTTTTCGTCGGTCTTTTGGACTATTTGAATTTCATGATGAAGGAGGACATCGTTGAGAAGTATGAGAATCTCAAACAACTCCAAAAGACAGTCGAGGAAGTACCGGCTATCAAAAATTGGATCGAGAAGCGTCCTCCAGCTATCTTTTCACCGAATTAATCCGGTTGATTCCATAAAATGATTTTTGGACAGAGTTTTTGTCATTGATGATTGAATATCAATTTTTCTTTTTTTTTTCAAACGTGTTTATATCTATATACGAAAAGCATATATATGATTGATTTACTGAACTAGGAGATACACACTCTAAAGATATATATAGATATATATTTTAACATTTGTTAAAGGCTGAATGATTACTCATTGTTATATGTCATATAATAGTAAAACTATAATAAGATAATTTCTAATCAAAAGAATGAACTATTTTTTTCATTATATAATTTTGTATTTCAATAAATCTGTACTTTTATTATTTCCTTGTTGATTTCTTTTATATTCGCGAAACCTTACCTTTTCAATCATTTAATTTGTTATTTATAATGAATCTGCATTCCTAATTTCAAATAACGTAAATAATTGAAGGATTGATATATTAAATTTAAGGATGGTTAAGGGACGTTCGAAAAATTGAACTGTCTTTGATGCTTTTATAATTTTTTTAGACTACCGAGCAATTTCTATTCTTAGAAAGTTTTCTCCTGGAAATGAGTCTTGTTTCATTGATAAAGTGGGGGTGTGTTGAACTGGAAGGGAGATAATGGAAGAATTTAGTAGTCGAACAACCGTTCCTATTAATAGTAGACCATCACTATTGATAACGTGAAACAATGCGGATTTACCGGCAAAAACGATTGGGAATCATTGAAAATCGACTGTCAAAGTTAGTAAATACTATTCTATATATACTCAATTTTTATCCGAACTCATTAGAATCAGAAATTCTTTTGAAAGCAAATTGTGATGTATTGAGATCTTGATGGATTTATATTCATAAACGGTAGTAAAAATTCGTTTACTAAAACGATTTGGACTGTTCATCACTTGGAGTGTTTCATCACTTTATTTATCTTCCTTTTTATCTTTGTTGTTTGCATGAGGTGTTATTGCTTTTTAATTTACGTAAATTACGAACGTAAAAAAACAAAAACTTAAAGTTGCTGATGAGACGGTGCCGTTTTACTTGGAGCGTCTGATCGTTCAGGTAAAAAAGATGGTTGTTATTTTGTTGACGGTGCTCTGACGTGGGCTGATCTCACGTTTGTCAGTCTCTTGGATTACATGAACTTCCTAATGAAAACGAATATCATTGAGAAATACGAGAACTCTTGAAACAACTCGTAAAGAAAAAGGAAAATATTCCTATCGTCAAAAGTTGGATCGAGGAGAGCCTGACAACTGCATATAAAAATCAGATGCGTAATTATATGTAAGAATTCCGGAGAGTGATTCATTTTTCGACAAAGTTGATTGTTCAATGATGTTTGATTTGAATAAAATATTTATTTTGATGATTTCTTTCGCGTTCACAAAATCTTATACCTTCCTAATTGTTCAATTTGTTACGATCTGTCTACATTCCTGTATTCATTTATTTATGCATCATTATTTTTTTTTATTTTATAAAATTATTTTTATATTTAAATTGCTATAAATATATAATTTACTTACAATTAGACATCCAGTAAAATATTCACATCGAAGAAGATCGGCAGCAATGTTAAGCGTAATCAAGTATTTAAACAGCCAAAAGGTCGCATATCTAATTCATAAATAGATATCTGCCTCCAAAACGCTGTTGATAAAAGGAGCGTGTATTATGTTAAATAAAATATATACCAAGTAATTAATTTAACGATTGCGAAACGTTGATTACGCACTATCTGCTTTTATAAACAGATAAAGCACTGAAAGTGCCTTTTCAGTCATATCGTGATGCAGCTTTTGCGGTTGCTAGGTGCTATATTATTTCAGCGTATAACTGTAATGCAACCGAAGGTCGCACAACATAGTTACAATTGAGGGGGGTTTATGCCTATTCACTGACAATGAGTAACTAGAAACGTGAGAAGGCTATATATATGTTACATATTATGTCGTAATGTGACAATTACATTGGATATATCTAGCCTTTCTACAAAGAAAAACATGATAAAATATTAACATAAATCAACAGAATATTTTTTTAAGAATATTCTTGCAATATGTTGCATGAATGTTCGAACAAAATTCTAATTCATATTTTTTTAAGTTTTATTTATCGCCTTTATACATATAAGCATATTTTTTAAATAAATTGATTACACCTATACTTTATAAATATACAGAAAGAGTAATTTATATTTTCGATTACACATTTAATTATATGTAAAATTAACGATTGACTGATATTAAAAGATATATTTAACAAACTTGCAAATTCGAATTCAAGAAAAGAATTAACGAATTTTTTGCATTATCTGTCATTTATTTTTTTGTAATATTGAATATACATATGTGTGCTTTCAATTTATAATTTACATGTATAATGTAACTTCTTAATTAATTGATAACTTTTTAAATATTAAAATTTTGTTTATTAATACTCTGTTAATTAATACTCTAATATATTCAATACTTATTTAATCAACTTTTATTCATCATATCTTTCTTCTAATTTTTTATGCGCATGAAATCTGCAAGTCATAACAAGTTATTAATAGCGCGACGAGAAATCATGAAACATTTATTTTTTTATGTAATATGTGTATTACATGATATAGATAGTGTCAATACCGCGCCTCATTGAGATAAATTCTGATAAATCTTATAATAACTATATAATCATCGCGAATACAAATATTTGTAAAATACATGCGAATTGCAATGCATTGCACAATTATACGTAAAACGTTATTACTGATGTATAAATATCGCATAATTATTTTATTATCAGTTGCATATATGTCTCTGAATATATATAGAAAATTTATTTATTTAAAAAGCGTACATATCACAATTATATTATAATATTTATTATATTATAATTATAATCAATCTTAACTTCTGTTTACTTTCAATCCCAATCAATGTCTTCCCAATCAGCAGACAATGTTTTTGAAACGTTTTCAAAATATTTATTTAATGTAAAAATATTTAAGAAATATTTTTTAAATATTGTATACTGATTGGGTTATTGTGAAGAAATATTCTGAATATTTCTTATTATTGAGATATTTCTAGAATCGCATTTGGAAATTTGTGTATGTGTGACGGATATAAAATAGAATAAAATTTGCGGTGGGGAGTAAATTACAGTTCTAACTTTTAACGTAACACTCGCTGTCAGTTGTTCTTGGTCCGTGAGTAGTTCTGCATCGATTGCTAGAGTTTCGATTTTACGAGAGGTTGGATTACAGACTGTGCAAGTTGAGAAAATTATATCTTCTCCATTTCACAACCTGCTTTTAGAACAAATATAATATATATAATAAAAGCGAGTATTATTAATATTATTAACATTTGTAATATTATTAAAAGTATTATTAATATTATTAAAGTATTATTAATACGAGTATTATTAATATCTAATATTATCTAATATTATAATTAATATCTATACTATCAGGCGTGTTCAATTTTAGCTGCGAAGTTAAAACACAAGACTATTAATGCAAAAAAATTCAATGTACGTAAGATTTCGAAAACTATAATGTCGATAAACGCCGCCCAGACGATTATCAACGCTTATTTGCTTATCTCAAAATCTTATCTACATTGAGTGCACTTACATTGAATTTTTTTCGTCGATGGTCTTGTGTTTTGGTTCCGAAACTAAAATTGGACACGCCTGATTTAAATTAATACTTTTGAAAATTATTTATTTTAAAATAAATATAAAATGTGGTTGTCATAAGGATATTACATGAATTATGTAATTAAACATCAAAGACTAATTTTTTATTATATTTCTTTATTAATTTTTACAGTTAATAATCAACAATTATTTGAAGATCTAATTCAGTTAAATATTGATTGAAATATATAATGTTGATACATAGTAAAACTTTTACTATGAATGTTTTAAATATCACGCTATATATTACGTGTCACGCGAATATTTACGTTTATATGCTTATTCAGATTTTTATAAAAATTATAAATATTATTTTACATATCTCTCTCTTATTTTACGCGTATTCATATTTTACAATTTTCACATTTATACAATTTTCAGAAAATGCCGACGTACAAGCTGATATATTTCGACGTTACCGGCCTTGGGGAGGCAATTAGGTTCATGTTAAATTATTGCGGTATCAAATTCGAAGATGTTAGATTTAGCTTCGATGAATGGTCGAAGTATAAACCAAGTATGTTACCTCATATAATTATATAATATTATTTTAAGATTACAAAACGGTCATAATTTCGATTGTTCTTCCATCTAAATAATTAATTACTAATTCGTGTTATAAAACTTTGCAAAATACATTCCTCGTATTTACCGTCAAGTTGTTGTTTTACGACCATTAATCGCGCATGTATTATAAACGCGCACATGGAATAAATTATTCTGCAATAAAACAAAAATAAAGAAGCAACTTCTTTTATTCAAACAAAGTAATAAAAACAAAATATATATATATTTGAATTTTATATGTGAATTTGACAAATCGATGTCGATAAATTATTAAAATATTTTTGTAAAATACTTTGCGCACTGTTTTTTGCACCGACTTCTAATGCTCTTTTAATTTTCTTTATTATTCTGTAATAATCTAATGACATTTTATACAAATTACAGGCATGCCCATGGGACAAGTGCCGGTTCTAGAGATCGATGGTAAGCAATATCATCAGTCCAGGGCCATCGGACGATTCCTCGCTAAGAAGGGCAATTTATATGGATCCGACGATTTTGAGGCCATGGAGATCGATGCAACAGTTGATTCTATCGAGGACATTAGACAAGGTAAAAATGTCGGTAGTCAAACGCGAGAGAATGACAGATTGTGTGTAATTACATAATCATCAAAGCAACTTGACTGTCACTTCAAATCTTCCATGTTGATGGGATTAGTCAATTTAATGCATATACAATGCGCATATACTGACTAAGCATATTTAACGTTATTGCTGCAAAGTTAACAAGTTATATACATAGTTCCTGAATGACTGTCGTGTGTTATATAATAATTATCGCTCTTCTCGCGGCCGGCGATTCACAATATAGAAACTATATATCTCTGTGCAACGCAAAAAAAGTAAGACAAATTAATTTTTGTAGCAATGACTCTTTATTATTGGGAACAAGATCCCGCCTTCAAAGCGAAACTCAAGGATACTCTTTTCCAAAAATTGCCTAACTATCTTGACATATTCGAAGCTCAAATCAAGAAGAACGGTGGATATTTCGTCGGTGGCAAGGTATAATTATTGATATCAATTTGCGTGCTATTGTGAACCTTGTTTTGTGTTACTTTTGTTTTTCATAAAGAGATAAAAATACATTTTTATTGTTTTAGCTGTCGTGGGCAGATTTTCTGTGGGCTGCATATCATGACTATATGAGCTTTATTGTGGAAGGGGATTCAAACAAAAATCATCCCGAATTGAAGAAGTTAGTGGAGAAAGTTCGTACTTTGCCCAAAGTTAAAGCTTATATCGAGAAGCGACCTAAGACACAATTTTAAGTAAAATGATTATAATATTATGCTCTTTTTTGATTTGTTAAACGTTTTAATATTATTCTTTAATAACTATTTTCTACTTCGAAGCGTTTTGTAGAATAATAGCATACTAATGTTCCGAATAGCTTAATATTATTATGTATGAAGTAAATAGAAAGGAAATAAAACGTTTTTATTAAAAGTGTGTGTGTGTGTGTGTGTGTTTGTGTGTGTGTTTATCGCTAATTTGTTACTTCTAATCCTTTTTTACTTATCAGTTTGAAAACGTTGTGTACCTAATTTTCAGTGTTTCTTCAAAATTTTCGCTGCATATTTTTTTCCATATAAGAGTATGATTATTATCAATTCTGTATCATTTTAGAAAACACACAATTTAAATAATACGTGTACGTAATATCGTATTATGGATAGCATAAATTTTATCTTGGTTTTTTATCATTCCTTCTTAGCCAACAACTAATTTTTTAATGGCAGCAGGATGTATGTCCCAAGTACATATGGTATCGTTTCAATGAAACGGTCAATATAAAGTCAATAAAAAAGTTAATAAAAAATTAAAATGACGTAAAAATAATTTTTTGATGCTTAAAGTCAATAAACAGTCAAATGTGTAATAAAAAATCATAATTTTAACGCCAAAGTATGTCGTTTTCTCTTAACTTGGTGTGTCCCTTGGGTACATAATCATCATCCCAACGTAATAATTGTGACTTATTTTGGAGTCTTCTGCGCCGACGAGATTAGTTAATATAATGCATACATATTGCATATATATTGAGTAGGAATTTAATATCGTTGCAAGATATTCTATACACAGCAGCTCTAATTGAAGTTAACAAGCTGTATATATACTTCCTGAATGATTGCGGCGCATTTATATAATTATCGCTTTTCTTGCGGCACTTCACGGAAGTTCTTTATTTCTGTGTAATGAAAAAACCGTAAGGCAAATTTATTTTTGTAGCCATATTCCAATATAATTGGGAATAAGATCCCACCTTCAAAGCGAAACTCAAACAGATCACACTCTAAAAATTGTATTACTGTGACAAGTTTGAGGCTCAAGTTGTAATTTTCAATTGCATGATAAGCTACTGATCTTTGTCTTGTGTTATTTTTGTTTTCCACAAAGAGATAAAAATATGTTTTTATTGATTTAGCTGTCGTGACCAGATCTTCTGTGGGTTGCATTCTGTGAGTATATGAGTCTTGTTCTGATCGAAGATCCGAACGAGGATCATCCCGAATTAAAGAAACTAGTGGAAAAAATTCGCACTTTGCTCAATGTTGAAACTTATATCGGGAGCAACCCAAGGAATCAGTGTAAAAAACAATTTTAGAGAAAAGATGTCATTTAAACGATATCTAAAAAATTCTAAATCTGATTTTTTTATATGTCAAGAAAATTACATTAAGAAATACTATATATAAATATCACGTAGATGCCTAAAATAATTTTTTTACATTAAATTAAACAATATTATACTTGTCAAAATGTATCTCATTTACTTTCATCATAGAATCTAATTTAAGAGAGTGTTGTTTCTAGAAGTCGTACCACTTTCCATTAGAATACGAGTGAAAGATTTCATTATGCTAGGCCTTTAATTTCATTCTATCCTGTATGATTTTTTTTTACTTACAAGAAACGGAACTCTGTCGCGTCTATTTATTAGCGGTGTCGCATAATTGCTTATTAATAGTATTTATAAATAGACATAAAGAGCTCTTTTAGAAAACGTCTTACAGAATGATTTTTTTACATTATTCTTAAGATATTTTAGTGAGATCTTTAAAAAATCATCATAAAAAGAATTCTTCGTCTCAACAATGCTTAATGGGTTATCTGTTTGCAAATGATTATCAAGTATACAATTGGAAAAAATGTGTTAAATTTAAATGGCATGTCTCAAACGGTCTACTCAAATTTTTGAGTTAATTTTACACAAGATGAATATGTTAGAAAGTAACACTAATATTATGTAAGAGAATAAATACAAAGAAAGATAACACAGTTTATAAACAAACCGTGGGAACATGTTTTTTTCAGAAAATTAATATTTATATGTTAAATTAACACATATTTCATTCATTTATCTTGGAATTTACGTTTTAAAACACATTATTTATATGTTACTTGTTCACTTACTCATAAATAGTGTCTTTTTGACACTAAGATAATTGAATATCAATTTCACAAAAAATCTTAAAATAATATAATCACATTATGTTAAATTAACACTCGAATATGTTAAAAAATTCAACACAAACTGTTAACACAGAACGTGAGTAGACCGTTTCCAACACAAATACACAAATTTTTTTACTGTATATATCGTCATAGATAACAATTTCAACTATAACACAGTATCATAAATAGTATAAAATTATCTTGATTTTTATTATATGATTTTATGATGTGTAACATTGGCTAACGTCACTAAATTTGTAATCGTTTGTTATTAAATAAAAAAATAAGTATAAATGATCTATATTCTAAGTGAAAAATATCGATATGCACTAAAAAGTTACATGCGAGAAATGTTCTATTAATTATTGCAATGATAAACCTCGACATAATTTTATGCATCACTGATCTGTAATTAGCATTTCGATTTCCTGAGAAAATAAGAGACATGTATTCTTTTTTTCATTGATATTACACGCTTCATGTGTGCATTCTGTTAGGTATAATTCTGTATGTAATTGTGCGTGTCCGGTGTTTTTCCATAGGTCTGTTTTCTTTCTCTCTCTCTCTCTCTCTCTCTTTGTGGCTGAATTAGTAGCTTGTACTTAAAATCAAATAGATATATATATTTAAAGTTTGATGAAAGTGCAGAAATAGAAAATTTTAATCCAGCGGCGACAGAGAGCAAGACTTATAAATTCTTCTTGATACAAGGACGTATATCCCCAAGTAACTGCGTATACATTACACAATATCGTTCCAACGAAACGCTTAGTCGTTCTTGATCCGCGAACAGCTCAACATCGATTACCAGAGTCTCGATTTCTACAACAGATCGGTTTATACAGACTGCAAGGTAATAAGAAATTGTATTTTCTTCATTTTATAACCTGCTTCTAGAATAAATAAACGAGTATGCTTATTTCAATACTACTTGAATTAATACTTTTGGAAATAATTTATTTTTAAATAAATATAAAATAGAGTTATGTTGTGTGTGTGTGTATCTGTGTGTGTTATAAGGATTAAATTAAATTACATAATTAAATACCAAAACTGAATTTGATTATACAGGATTATTTTAAATGATTGCCGAAGATACATAAAAATAAGTTTAATGTACGACACAATTATAATGATGTATAGAAAACTGATGTATAGAAAAATTTTGAAAACTTTGTTTCGAACTTTTCGCCAACTTACGTATTAAATTTGCGCAAAGTCAACGATGCTAGAGTTAAATCGCTTCGAGATCTCAGACAGAGAAAGAATTGACTAATTGAATTACTCAAATGGGTAAATTGTTGAAATGCGATTTGTTAATTCTTCCTCCATCCGATATCTCGGAACGACTTTTATAATTATAGCTACAAGGCTTAAATTGAAAATTTGTTCGCGTCATATGCGTCAATATGTGCGTTAGAATGAGTAGGTGCTACGATAGAAGCATGTTGAAGCGTATTGAAGCATGCGACGCAAACAAACCTTAAATAGCGAGAGCAGGGACAGCGCTAGATTATTTGGTGTCCCCATGCAATATTCAAATTAGTGTCAATACGTGGTCTAAATTTAAAAACGGAAAGATAAAGGGTATACACCACGCACGCAAGATATTCTTAGCGATTATTATATTAGTTTATATTTGATTCCATAACATATAATCAATTACAACTTGATTATTAATTCAACTTATTTCAAATTTGATAATAAATTTTTTAAACAAATCTTTGGTATGCCCATGGGATCTCCGTTGTCACCAATTTTAGCGAATTTAGTAATTCAAGATTTGGAAGAAAATATTTTTTCCAACATAAATATTAACATTCCAATTTACTATCGATATATGAATGATATTTTATTAGCAGTTCCGAATAATCAGATCAATGAGATACTTGATAATTTCAATTCTTATCATGATAGACTGAGATTCAGAGTTGAGCATGGGAATGATGACTCTATAAATTTCCTTGATGTTAAAGTGATATTAGATGATGGTTGTATCAAATTTGACATGTATAAAAAACCCACGAACTCAGAAAGATATCTAAGTTATAAATCTAACCATCCAATTCAACACAAAAGAGGAGTAATAATCGGTCAGCTTGATAGAATTCTTTTTCTCTCACATCCTGAATATCACAAAAGAAAACATTGAATCGTCGAAACGTTTATATAATATTTTTGTAATTGATTATATGTTATAAAATCAAATAACTAATCGCTAAGATTTCTTGCGTTCGTGGTGTATACCTTTTATCTTTCCGTATTCAAATTAGTGTCTTATATTAGAGGAGAAGATGGCATATATAGGCTTCTATGTATATTTTGTACAATAACTTTATTAATAATTCATATTTAAATTGAAAACTTAATGATTATATTTGTCAAAGTGTTATTCAATCGATTTTATACTAAAAGAATTATGAAATATTTATTATGTACTTGAGACATTGTTTATAAAAATATGGGGACGCGTATAAATAAGTTGAAAAAGAAATAAAGGCACAGTCCCTTATAAAAATGGATTTAAAAAAATTGGTTCTCCTAAAAAAAAATATAATGTTTAGTTAAAACTATATATTTAAAAAAACTATTGCAGAATGTATAGGCTATACGTACATATAAATTTTTATAAATATAACTTGCTGTGAGTATTAAAAATTTACGGAGTATGTAACGTGAACTATAGATTAGCAGTAGAACTGTGCGCTTATCGAATTCTTTGATAAACATTACGTGAAAACCTTGAAATAACTCGTATTATCAACATGCAACTTATGGAGGCTACATTAGCAAATTGCCATGCTATTATTCAACATTGCATACCTCAAAATAGTATAGCCGAATAAAGTATTAAATAACAAATAGAACACTTAAGTGTACGTATAATGTATTCATATGATAATGCACACGAGTTTAAAAAAATGTATAATCAAGCTAAAATGTACCTTGCATTTCAAAATGCTCGAAAGTAAAAATGCATTTGAATAAATGCTAGCTATTATGTATTGGTGTATTAACATTATTGTGTAATGGCTATTAAACAAATGATTTTATAAGTACTGATTAGAATTCGCTATCTAATAGCGGAGATATTATGAAGAGTCATGTATCTACATAGACTATAATACCATCTTCTTCTTATAAATAATAAAACGTTGATTTAAATATTGCATTTAAAGTACGGGGTAGTTCAATTAAATATGAATAAGATCCTTTTTTTGTGTAAGTTCAAAATCAACGTTAGTAAATGTACTTACCCTGATTGTGAATGACAGGTGAGAGTGTCTGTCACGCCTTATATTATAATAGTTGTGGATTTATGGCAGTTATTTCTGCAGTAGTTATTACGATATCTGAATAATAAAGCGCATTGAATGCAATCGTGCAACGCGTGATTCAAGTTCATTCATTAAGTTTCTTGCAAACAGAATTATTAAAACCATCGAAATTTTGCGTAAATTCTGTGACAATTCTGAAATGAGATGAGATGTAAGTGCGCAACATTTTATTATGTTGCATAGATTTTTATATTTACTGGCATTGTGTTAGTTTAGACTTGTTTAAAAACAAGTCAAACCTTATTTTGTACGTACATTTTTATATTTATACAATTTTCAGAAAATGCCGACGTACAAGTTGATATATTTCGATGTTACCGGCCTTGGAGAGTCAATTAGGTTCTTGTTAAATCACTGTGGCATTAAATTTGAAGATACTAGGATTGCCATCGATGATTGGCCGAAACATAAATCAGGTATGTTACCTCTCATATGCTATTATTTTTACATTAGATTACAAAACGATCATAATTTCAATTGCTCTTTCATCTAAATACTAATTCGTGTTATAAAATTTAGTTTGCAAAATGAATTTCTCGCATCTATCATTAAGTTTTATTATTCAACGATTATTCAGTTTACGATCATTCACGTTTCTAATATATGCGTGGGATAGATATTGTTTTGCAATAATGTCATAACATTTTTACACATTGCAGACATGCCTATGGGACAAATGCCGGTACTGGAAATCGACGGGAAGCGATATCATCAGTCTAGGGCCATCGGACGATTCCTTGCCAAGAAGGGCAATTTATATGGGGCTGATGATTTCGAGGCCATGGAGATCGATGCTACTATTGATTCTATGGATGACATAAGACTAGGTAAAAATATGATAATTATACATATTAACGGACACCACGCCGATGACCTTGACCTTGATATATATTGTCAAGATCATGGCCCTGAGTGTGACCTCCGACAGGTTTTAGGTGACGGTCGTCCTTCGTTAAAAAGTTATTAACAAAAAAAGTTCAACTATATAATACGAGAATTCCCTGCTTTAAAATATGTTTGATAGTCGTACGTTGTAGGGGACGTCGTGCTGACGACTTTGACCTTCTTTTGTTAATAACTTTTTAACGAAGGACGACCGCCACCTAAAACCTGTCGGAGGTCACTCAGGGCCATGACCTTGACAACATACATCAAGATCAAGGTCATCGGCGCAATGTCCGTTAATGTGTATAATTAAATAAAAAATATTGCTAATCATCATATGTGAAAGGATGATAAGTCGATTATATCATTAAATCAACACATACACTGTAACTTTCCGAGTCTTTCGCGCAGATAGGATTAATCAATACGCTTCGGATAGATGTTGCGCATATGTCAAATAAGAATTTAGTGTTCGTCGCTCTGCATAAAGCAGCTATTTGAAGTTAACAATATATTTCCTGAATAATTATCGCGCTGTTTAATTAATATCGCTCTTCTTGCGGTGATTTATAATATGCTTTTTATCTCTATGCTTAGCAAAAATCGTAAGGTAAATTTATTTTTGTAGCACTATCCCAATATTACTGGGAAAAAGATGCCGCTTTCAAAGAGAAACTCAAAGAGACTGCCTTCCAAAAATTGCCCTATTATCTCGACAAATTCGAGGCTCAAGTTAAGAAAAACGGCGGATACTTCGTTGGTGGCAAGGTAATAATTTTCGATTGCGTGCCAAGCTATATAACTAATCATATTACCTCTATCATCATAAATAGACGAAAATACATCTTTATTGTTATAGCTGTCGTGGGCAGATTTTCTGTGGGCTGCATATTTTGATTATCTGAGTTTTGTTCTGGCCGGGGATCCGAATAAGGATCATCCCGAATTGAAGAAACTAGTGGAGAAAGTTCGTGGTTTGCCCAACGTTAAAGCTTACATTGAGAAGCGACCCACAACCCAATTGTAAATAAAACGATTTATATTTTTACGCTTTTTCTTTGATTCGTTACGCCATCATTTTGTAATAATTATTCTATCTCGAAATGTTTTGTAAAAAGAATAGTGTGCTAATGTATTACTTCCGAATATAGTTTAAATCAGTTTCTCTGCAATCTAATAACAACTATTATTATTGTGGAACAAGTACGAAAAGGAAATAAAATCTTTTCGTTCGCAGCATAAAAGTGTACGTGCTTGTCGCTTCTTATTTCTAAAATCCCCTCTTACTTGTCTGTTCGAAAAAATATTGTGTATATCTATCAAATTATATATATTATTATAAATATTATACAATTTCAATAATATCAGATAATATTGTGTTATAAATAGTACAAAATTATGTTTTCTTTTATCGCTTTGACTTATTATACGATATTAAACGATATATTAAAAGCAATATATTCTGTAATATAATTAGGAAAAATTATTATTGTTTAAAGAATATAAGAAATACTGTTATAATCCTGGAATCATTCCAAATCATCCTGGAAGGATTATAACAGTAGAAGGAAACGATTTTACCACGTTATTTATGAACAATGAAATGTTAATCTATATAGGTTTCTTAAACAGTCTATTAGTTTTCTACAAAAAGTTCTATACGAATTTTAATGACAAAATAATTTATCACGACAATATTAGTATTTATACATTTACATTAGCAAATAAAAACAAATAATTCTATTTTGAACTAAGAAACTATTTACAAAGTGTGCTTCGTTTCACGCATGATACGCATGATGTATTATTTTATCCTTGTCGTTTACCAAATATTAAAGAAGGATAAATTGATACATCACAGCCATGCTTGAAACGGAACGCATCTATAATCATATGTATTATATTTAAAATGATTAAACCATAATAAGATAGCATCGTGTTTTATTATATAGATATTATAGATATAGATAACAAAAAATAATCTTAATTTTTTATCACTTCCATATTTTTACAAGATGCAATATGATAAAGAAGATACAATGCGATATGATAAAAAATGAGAAATTATCTTTCATGTAAAAAGTGAGAATACGCATCAAATATTGTTACGTGCGACAAAAAATTTGTTTATTATTGCAATGTGTTTATTATGGACCACGGTATAATTTGCGTTATTGTCCTGTGATTAGTTTTGATTTAAGAGAAAATAAAAGACATCTATTCTTTTTTTTGTATTATATTTTAAGATAAAAGATTATGATAATATCAACATAACGTTGAAATGACTTACGATTCATTTTAATATTTTTATGACGTTATTTTTATAACGTTTTATAACGTTATAGTGATTTGTTGTTCTGCTTACGAGTTTAATCTTCCGTGAGTATATCTAATAAGATACAATTTTGTGTGCATGTGATTGTGTGTGTGCAAGATTGTGTGTGTACGATCTCTGTATAATTCTTTCTATAAAAAGGACTTATGTCATTAAATGACTAGATACACAGTACCGTTTCAACGGTAATCTTTCCAGTCATTCTCAATCCACGATCTGTGTCGGTTGCTAGAGCCTCGATTTTTACAAGTCGGATTACAAACTACAAGGTAATGAGGAATTATATCTTCTTCATTTTGTAATCTGCTTCTAGAATAAATAATCAAGAGTACGTTTATTTTAACACTGCTTAAACTAATACTTTTAAAAATGCTTTATTTTTAAATAAATATAAATATATTATAGTTATCATAAGAATATTAATTATATTTATAATTTTAAAAATATTAATTATATTTATAATTTTTTTAGTTAACAGTTAACAATTATTTGCAGAAGACCTCAATAAAAATTGAAGCTAATTGAAGCACACAAGATCACTTTGTGACACGATAATAAAGTATTGACGTGTTCCCATACAAGCTTCGAACTGTTTATTCACAAGCATCAATTGATTCGTTTATACGGCTTGCTTGCCTGTGCTTATCGCGCCACAAAATAACTTCGTGTGTTATCGCTTTAGACCTTTTTAAAAGCAAGCTAAACTTTATTTTATATGTACACATATATATATATATATATATATATATACAGGGTATCTTGTCAACTATTGCGAAAATTGTAAAATGGTAGAGGACTTTTCTTCTCAGTTTAGTCCGTTCTGCCCCTATGCGAAAGATTTTTCATTACTTTCCAAACTCTGTATATTATGTTTTTATATTTATTAATTTCCAGAACATGCCGACGTATAAGCTAATGTATCTCAACGCTACTGGCATTGGGGAGCCAATTAGGTTTTTGTTAAATCATTGTGGCATTAAATTTGAGGATAAGAGAATCACCTTTGATGATTGGCCAAAGTATAAACCAAGTATGTTATCTCATATACTATAATTCTGAGATATATTTAAAATTCCGTTTATATAATAATTCGTGTTACAAAAGGAGGAAGTGTACGAAAAAGCCTATTTTTGACTTAAACACAGAACATAAATTAATTACTAGAAACTATTGGTAGGATATAGAAACAGAAAATAACAATTATTTGGTATAATTAAATATCTTTCGCAACATATATAAATATACCATTGATTTTATTTTAAAGGATACAAATCTTTAAAAAAATATTCATATGACTATTTCAGCAATCAATAATAAATCTCGATTTTTAATACTTTCTCCGGAACTGATGCATAAATAATTGTTATTTTCTATTTCTATCCTACGAACAGTTTCCAATGATTAATTCATGTTCTGTATTTAGATAAAAGTGGGCTTTTTTCACATCCTCCTTTATTTTGCAAATCTAAATTTTTTGCATTTATTGACAGTTTTAAATTCTTTTAGTCGCATCTCTAGTATAGACGCGCACATGAAACAGATATTGTTTTCAATAATCTAATAACATTTTCATATATTGTAGACATGCCCATGGGACAAGTGCCGGTCCTGGAGATTGATGGTAAACAATATCATCAGTCTAGGGCTATTGGACGATTCATCGCCAAGAAGGGCAATTTATACGGATCCGATGATTTCGAGGCTATGGAGATTGATGCCGTAGTCGATTCTATCGACGATATAAGACAAGGTAAAAATTTCGGTGATCAGTAAATACGAGAGATGACAGGTCATCAATCATGTAATAATCCAAGCAACATGATTTTGACTTCTCGAATTTTCCGCACCAGCGAAATTATTCAATGTGATGCATACATGTTGCACATATGTCCAGAATAATGTTAATATTACTGTAAAGTATTCTGTATAAAGCAGCTATTTTAAATCATACATTTTCTGAATATTGTCGCATGCTGTTTAATTATACTCTTCTCGCGGTTTACCACGAAAGTGGATTTTCTTCTTTTCCAACACGAATAATCGAAAGGCAAATTTATTTTTGTAGCAATGGGCCATTATTATATGGAACAAAATCCCACCTTCAAAGCAAAACTCAAGGAAATCGTCTTCCAAAAGTTGTACCACTGTCGCGATAAGTTTGAAGAACAAGTTAAGAAGAACGGCGGATACTTCGTCGGTGACAAAGTAATAATTCTTTATTACTTGCTAAGTTATTGATCTTCGTCTTGTTACATTGTCTTCGTAAAGAGATTAAAATACATTTTTTTTTATTATTTTAGTTGTCGTGGGCAGATTTCCAGTGGGCTGGACATTGTGACATTTTGAGATCTGTTCTGGCTGTGGATCCAAACGAAGATCATCCCGAATTGAAAAAACTAGTGGAGAAAGTTCGCGCTTTGCCCAACGTTAAAGCTTACATCGAAAAGCGACCTAAAACTGAATTTTAAATAAACCCTTTACAACGAATGTAATTAATTGTAAATAATGCAGCGAAAAACCTGTAACTATTGGAAGAAATTCACATTTACTTTGATTTTCTTGATTACCTTTGGTTTTCTCACATCAATTGATTTGACTCATATTTTACCTCGGTGAAACTAAAAATCTTAAGTATCTATTGCCAAAAACAGATTTTGAAAAATTTAAGCCATTGATTTGCTCTATATTATTGAAGATTTTATGGGCTTCGATCTTTGACCCCTTTATGATTAATTAATTTGATTCATTTGACTTTTTGTCTCGATGAAACTAAGGTCCTCGGGTATCTCCAAAAATAGAGTTCTAAAAAATTAAATACCGTTTCTGAGAAATCTTGCAGATTAACAGACGGCCAGACTGTGAAATTATAAAGTAGTTTGCTATACGCTGCACTATATATATATACTTAATAAAACAATTTATAATTCTATAGTTTTGAATTATTTCTTTGACTTGTTACGTGTCACGACATCATTCGTCACTAACTATTCTATTTTGAAACGTTTTATAAATTGCGTGAATTGCGTGTTTATATATAGTATTACGCCCGAATAGCTTCATTCATTTTTTTTGCAATCTAACAATATTTAATATTATTACGTAACAAAGAAATAAAAATGAAATAAAATCTTTTTTACTCAGTAAAAGTATGTGTTCGCTTCTTATATTTCTAATCCGCCCTTACTCATCTGTTTGAAAATGTATAATTATCAATTATGCATATCATCATATAACATATGATTTCAATAATACCGCCTAGCATGTTGTTTTATAAATAGTGCAAATTAATTCAATTTTTTATTACTATCATTGCGATTTTTTATTACTATCATGCATTTATAAATATTATGTTGTTTCTTTGATGCTTTAAAATATCCTTTTATACAGGATAATTGTTTTAAAATTTCGTGAGTATGTTTGTAGAAAAAGAAAGAATAAATATTTCTGTGAACAGGACGCAAATACTTTGTTGTCAAAATAATGGAATTGATGTTTGCGAATGCATTAATCATGTATACGTTGTGTTCAGTACATGGAAAATGATGCAGGACATTTTGAAGCCTCTTTTATAAATAAAAAAAATACCCACCTGAAACTTTTAAATAAAATTTTTATTTGATACTACTGTGTCCATTATTTCGACAACGAAGCATTTGCAATCTAATGTTCATAGGAACATTTGTTTTTTCCTTTTATTCAGGAACATGCTCACAAAATTTTAAAACAGACGAGAAGGTGGTATTATGACTAGTGTATATATTGTGGCCTCCCTTAATATCTTCGCTATTATATAGCGAATCTTAATGATTACTTATGGAATTATTAGTTCAGTAGCTCGTCGTTACACCATGACACTAATATTACCAATACTCAATAATCACTTATTATAACGCATTTTTACTTTCAAGTATTTCGAAACGTTTCTGAGGTATACTTTAGCATTTAATTACACCTACTTCCTCATTTTTTTTAAACTTGAGTGTATTATCACATGAATATATGTATTTTTGAGTGTATTATTTGCTATTTAACATTTTATTTGACTGTATATATTTTGAGTTATGCAAATTTAAATAATATCATGGCATTTTGCTAATCGTGTGGCCTTCTATGGATATTGATTACTCACGACCTCTTTTTTGAGGTTTTCATATCAAAATAATTATTTGATAATCGATTGTAGCTCTACTGTTAATCTATAGTTTATATTACGTGTACTATTTTTAGTACTGAGCAGTTTATATGCAGAAGTTATGTGAATGTATATACATTCTTTTGCATACATTTTAAAATGTTTTACTTTTTTGTTAATTTTGTAACCAAATACTGTTTTCTAAACAAAATTAATATTGTAAGGCTATTTTTATGGAAGACCACGTTATCACCCATTTTTTTCGTCTAGTCATTATGC